ATATCTGTTTGACTCCATAATCACTACAACCACACTTTGTAAATATAGTTTATCAAAAGTTTCACCCTTGAGAATGAAGCTTTATATATAATACAAAGGTTAGCATGAAAAGTCTACCTACTACTCCTTGGCATCTCATAGATCACAAATATGAAACAAAACCCCAAGTTGGAACCAAGATAACATCCAAAGTAGTGGTAAAGTCCACTTTAGAAATTTTTCTCTTTAGAAATTGTTTCCTTTCTATATATTTTCAGAAAAATTTCGACTAATTAGCCTCTGCTTATACACCTAAACATTATCACCTTGCCTTCAGTATGCTGAAGCAGTTTACATCAATAAGAGATAAGGAATTGGATTTATTCTCCATTATTATAGTCAAATAGGACCTGATTTGTGGGTACTTCATTGATGTGTGCTCAAGAACTTCAAATAATTTTTGAAGAAACAACACATTTTTATATCTGGGAACACCTATTCCTCAGCATAATCTGTGTTCTTGCCCTGTTCACATATGAACAGCTAAAGTCATTATCCAAGGTGACATTTGAGACAGGTTATATTCATGAGGCAGGTGAGTAGATACCAGGTTCAGCTATAACTTCAGTATCTTCTCAACTCAATATTGTTACACAGAGAAAACATCCATCCATTAGGGTTAACATTATTCTGGACCAAACCATTCATGTTTTCTTATGATGGCCCCTATTTTTCAAGGTTAAAAAGGACCTGAATTTGAACCAACTCTAAAAGCTGCACTAAAACAAGCCCACAAACAATTCCAATAAAATTAAAAAGCTTTAAGGAGTTAAGATTTAGTAGTGGAACATATTGCTAACTGGTAGCATTACAGTGTGTGATTATGAATTTTCACCTTGTTCTTGAGTATTAATCCTGTAAAAGACTTGACAATAAATGAGAATTTGACTTCTCTCAGTCCTTTCCTCTCCAAACTTTTAACTCAATTTGGTTTTGGTTTTTACTATTACTCAACTGCTATTTTTAATTGCAGACTATAGAAAACTAAGTAAAAAATATTCTCATATAAAACATAAGAGTGGGATTTTGTTTCCCAGTTTTCTACTTTGACATCTTTTTTAACCAAAAGAGCCTTTTAATAAAATTTTAATCCTCATAATTTTCCTCTAGCTCAATTAAACTTATTACATGAACTTCAGGTGTATTTTGCTTAGTTTCACACTAGGAAAATAAAAATTCTTATTGTTTCAAATTCTAGCCCAACTAACCTCCAAAATAATGTAGTTGTGGGCAGTGCAATTTCAAAAGAGCCAAGAACAAATAATAGAAGTCATTTTAGAAGACAATATAGAATAGTGATTATAAGACAGCACTGCCTCATCTAATCTTTATGGCACAGTGCCAGGCACATAGTAAGTATAATCATTTCCCTTTGGTAGCTTCTAACACCTCTTTCTAGCTTTGAACATATGCAAATGTTAATGTAAATCATTCCTTGTTCAAGCCTCTGTGATTCATTATTTAGTTGCTTAAAAATAACCCATAAATCATATAAGTAAAGGTTTCATTAATGCCACTAAAAAGTCATGTGAGTAAAGAGTTGTGCACCTAAAAGGACTACCAATGTCAGAATCACAATCACAGTACCATGACGGGAGAATGTGCAAAAAAACAAAAAGAAGTAAATATTTTAAGACCACTTCCAACTATGAAATTACTCTGGCAAACAAATCAAACTGGAAGGGATAGAAACATGATTTTCATAACATTATGAGGAGATTATAATCAGCTATGAGAAAATTATGCAAATACTAAACATATCAGATTAGTTGTTTGAAAATTCTAGCAGGGAAACTCGCACTTGAATATAGTTGGTTGCACAGATGTCCTCTTCTGCTTGGGAAATTTTCAGTATTGGAAGGAATACACATGGAAAGATGAGGAAGAACAGGGACCAGCTACAACAATAGAAATAACCTAAAGATCAGTGCAGTGACACAAACATGATGCATAGATTTCCCTCTTACCCACTTTGATTCTTGAAATCCTGTTTGAAACAATGTTTGTAGGCCACTCCCAGTTTGATGACTAAATATATGGTCCATAAGGACCATGAATAGAACTGGAAATCAACATTTAAGTATTCATATTTATTCTGAATAAAAACTTGTCTAATTTTGACCTTCATTTTCTGAAGGTGCCTATCAGTGACGCGCTGATAACCAAGATCCAGAAATGTAGGTCAAAATGAACTGTCAACCTCAAACTCTACAATGAGCTGTTGCAGTTAGACTGAACTTTTCCTCCCAAATTAGGAAAAAGGTACAAGGGACCACTCTGATATTCTTGAGATAGTGTTGCCTCCACTCTTTTTGGCTTTCTCTTCACTAGATAATTCAAGAAAGAAATCTGGAGCCAGCATTGTGACATAGCAGGTTAAGCTGCTGTCTGCAGTGCCGGCATCTCATATGGGTGCTGGTTGGAGTGCTGGCTGCTCCACTTCCAATCCAGCTACCTGCTAACGTACCTGGGAAAGCAGTGGAAGATGGCCCAAGTGCTTCGCCCCTGCACCCACATGGGAGACCCAGATGATGCTTCTGGCTCCTGGCTTAGGCCTGGCCCAGCCCTGGTCATGGCAGCCATTTGGGGAGTGAACCAGCAGATGGAAGATCTCGGTCTCTCCCTCTGTCTCTGTAATTCAACTTTCAAATAAAATAAATAAAAACCTTAAAAAAAAAAACAAAGCAGAGAGAGAAATTTGCAAGAAAATTCCTTGCAGAATCAGCTGGAATTTCAGGCAAATTCTAATCAGTTAGATGACTTCTTTCAATTTAACAGGCACTTATAAAGCAGCGTTATAGTGTTCAATCAGTATTGTGCTGGTGCTGTTGGATAAAATATGACTCATTATTTACTCTTGATTATTTCTTTTGTGGTAGGGAGAGTGTGTTGAGAGAACAAGACATATATCTGTAAAATAATATGAAAAGAATTTGACATAACTGTGCTCAAAGAACTAAATTTAATTAGATTGTTGATGGGTATAAATATAGTCTTCATGGAGGTAATAAATCTTGAGATGGGTTTCATAGGATGGGTAAGCTTTAGCTACACACAAAAAAGAGAAACAATATTCTTGGCAGCAAACAACATGAGTAAGGACCTGGAGGCGAAAATAGCATGGTGCATGCCCAGGACGATGAAATCTACAGCTGTAGCAGACATAATGTTGGGAAATAGAAAATATGACTTTGTTGATGTAAGCATTTAGATATTTTTTATTGGATGTATAGGTCTATGGATATATATTTATATATTCATGTATCATCTACATCTACATCTGCATACTCAAATATGTACTATTTGTTAATTTTATGACGTTTACACGTACAGTGTGATAATCTTGACATAGATTTGCCCATCTATTCATGGTTCACATGGGAAATCTTACTTTATTTATGAGGTAATCATTACCTTCTCTGCAAAGCAACTCCAAAGGATACATGGACAAGAAACTGAAATTGTGGTGAATTCATCCAAACTTTAAAAAATATATAAATATACATTATTTAATAAAAAACATGATGATGCTACATTTTATTTTGAATCTTGCTTTGTATTTTGTAAATTGTATTTTATGTGGAGTATGTAAAAATGAAAGCTTCTCTTTGCTTACTTTTCCTTACTGCTGTGTGTCAGAGCATACAAGTGTTTTTAAGGTCTGCATTCAGAAGACAGGTATGAAGTTTCACTGGTCAAACTTGAAGACCTTAAAAAAAATCGACTTAAAAAAAAACTTGAAGACCTTTTATCATCTGTATACTTAGAAATAAATGTAGTTTTAGGGTTCTTGGTTCTACATGCAAAATAAGAGGTTGTATGAAATAAAACCTAAGTTGTTGTATTCCAGACAGTGTATTTTGGGGATTATAGGGAAAACGGTCAGTAATATTAAAAAAAATAGTACCAAAGAATATGAAGTTAATAGGATGTACCTTATTTAACACACATTCATAATAACTTGTTACTGAAATTTCAAATAGCTCTGAATTTGCTAAACTTGGTCCTCAGCTTGGTCCTCTTGTCAAATTGACTAGATGTTCAGTCCAAATAACAAAGGAAGTCCAAAAATAAATACATAAAAAGACATTGAATTGAGTAGGTTTACTTAATCCAACTTTAAAATATACTATTAAATCAAGTTGGCGTTCACTGAGATATGCAAGCCCAAAAGAAATTAATTCTTCTATAATCAGTATGACTAAATAATTCACATTATTCTTTTCCCGCAGGAGACAGATGAGTAAGTCATGTGGTAACCATGGGAATTCAGCTATTCAGATTCATTTATTTTTCTTATTTTATTTAAGTACCAACATTTAATAGTTCTGATATGTTATTCAAGTGTTATATTCAATAGTTTGTCAACAGTTGGACAAAATAAAATTGAAGATGCTATTACAATGGTGATTTTCTTTTCAATTCCTCTCATATTAAAATATATATACCTCAGATGCAAAGAAACATTAGTGACTTGTTTCATGTAACTTTAGAAGATTATTTTACTTTTCTTCCTTTCACATCAAAATATCTGTGACTCTGTGCACTTACTCCCCATGTAGGATCTCTGTCCTTAATGTGTTGTACTATGCGAATTAATGGTAAAACTACTGCTCAAACAGTACTTTATACTTTGTGTATCTGTGTGGGTGCAAACTGTTGAAATCTTTACTTAGTATATACTAAGATGATCTTCTGTATATAAAGATAACTGAAAGTGATTCTTGATGAAGAATGGGATGGGAGAGGGAGTGGGAGATGGGATGGTTGTGGGTGGGAGGGAGGTTATTGGGGGAAAAGCTGTTATAATCCAAAAGTTGTACTTTGAAAATTTATATTTATTAAATAAAAGTTGAAAAATAAAAAAATAAATAAAAGTGAATATCTTAAAAGAACAAAAAAATCTGTGACTTTAGAAAAAATGTAATATTTATTATAATTTTGATTAATGTTTGCTTCAGGTGTTAATTCAGGATGATGGCCCAGAGAAATTGGACCCCAAATATTTTGGAGAGTTGCTTGCTGATCTAAGTCGTAAGAATACGGATCTGTATCACTGCTTGTTAGAACATTTGCAGAGAATTGGAGGAAGGTACTATAAGTATTATTCACCTTATTATGGCTATCAAGTATTTTACAATATTCTACTCTTTTTTTAAACTGACTATTTTTTTAAAGATTTATTTATGTATTTGAAAGGCAGAGTTACAGAGAGAGAGAGAGAGAATCTTCCATCCTCTGATTCATTTCCCAAATGGCCACAACAACTGGAGCTGTGCATATCCAAAGCCAGGAGCCAGAGTTTTTCCCAGGTTTCCTATGTGGGTGCAGGAACCCAAGCACTTGGGCCATCTTCCATTTCTTTCCCAGGTGCTTTATCAGGGAGCTGGATTGGAAGTGGAGCAGCCAGTACTCAAACTGGCACCCATATGGGATGCGGGTGCCATAGGCAGCAGCTTTACCTGCTACACCACAGTGCCAGCCCTGAACTGGCTTTTTTTAAGAGCAATTTTAGGTTCCTAGCAAAACTCTAGAACTTTTAATGGAGTAATAGGAAAATATATATGAGCATATCTGAGCAAATGTCTCATTTTAAGGGTTAATATAGTTTATGAACATCTAAGTTCACTTAAGTACTTTTATGATCAGTAAACAATTCTGTGTACCTTCTTTTATAATGTACTTTGATTGCAAAAGTAACCTCTTGGGTAAGGAGCTCAAAAAATGTATGGCAAGAGGAGAGTTATATCCAACAACAGTTAAGCCACCACTTGAGATGCCAGCATCCCCTATGGTAGTACTTGACTTCAAGTCCTGCCTCTGCTTCCAATTCAGCTCCCTGCTAAAACACACCCTGGAAACCATCAGGTGATGACTCAAGTACTTGGGTCCCTGCCACCTACATGGGAGACCTAGATAGAATTTCTGCCTCTTGGTTTTTGGCTTGACCTAGCCCTGGCTGCTGTTGTAGCCATTTTGGGGAGTATGCCAGCAGATGGAAGATCTCTCTCTTTCTTTCTCTTCCTATCACTCTGCCTTTCATATATATATGTATATATATATATGTATGAAACTCAAGACACTTCATGGCATAAGATATAAGGTATAGTCCCACTGTCAACACACTGTTTATACTGATGCATATTCAACATATGAAGGCCAAAGTTTTGAATGTATATTAATCTGTTGTATATTATCTAAAACCTTTCACATCAACTTTGTATATAATATTATATATAAAGTATATAAAATATAAAATAGCAAATATGTTATATAGCATAATGGTATATAATTATGTATTTAATTATGTACACATCAATAATCAATCAATAATTCATGTATAAATGAGAGAATATTATGTTATGAAATGGATTCTGTAGGACATATCCCAAAGTGGCCTACTAATATATGAGATCATTTATCAGGTAAAATCTAGGAAAACTCCACAAACACAGAAAAATCCAGAAGATAGAGCAAAGATTGAGAGAATTGTTCTATAATTTTCACTAAATAGATTCTTTTACTTCTTAGTTTTTAATATGCAAGTTTATATAAATTTATATAAATTATAGAACACCATATGGATTTATACTGTTTTATATACATTTTCACTCAAAAATATATAGCATACACTTTTCCATGGCAATAATATATTTAGTGCCTGCAGTAAATTATCTCTTTAACCTACTGTCTATCCCATTTCTCTCCATTTATTGGTTTTCTTTCTCTTGATTTTTGTTACTTTCATACTCATGACTGCATTCTATCATCATCACCATCAATTGCTTTGCCTCCCTATCTAACTGTTCCCCCTTGTCACAAAATTCCAATTCTGTGTCAACTGGCTTTCTGCCTTACTTACTGTCTCTGTCTACTACCACATCCTCCATTCTATATTCATTATCCCTAGAACTAGGAGAGTTCCATGAGAGATGTTTTATTTGCCTTTGTATTCGTAGTGCTTAGTTTGGTGACTTGTTTAGTGTGGTGCTCAGTAAATATTTGCAGAATATGTCTTCTTCTATACCCATGCAGTTGATCACTGTTAGAGAAAAGCACAGCTTTTTTGGTAGCATTATAAATGTAGGATTTCCATCTTTTTTCTTGAGAAAGGCCTTCCTGATTTTTTAAAAAAGTTGTTGGGAGGGGGGAGAGAGGGAGGCAGGAAAAGAGAGAGGGAGCTAGGGCTCATCTGCTGAGTCACTCCCCAAATGCTCACAACAGCTGGGCTGGGCCAGACCAAAACCAGGAGCTAGGAACTCATTCCACATCTCCTATGAGGATGATAGGGATTCAACAAACTGAAACATCATCTGCTCCCTCCCAGAGTACGCATTAACATGAAGCTTGATTCAGGGGCTGGATCCAGGGATTAAACCCAGACACTCTGATATGGAATACAGGCATTGAAATCAGCAACCTAAACACTAGGCCAAACCCTCACCCTCATTTTATCATTTTATCCTCACTGGTTTATCCTTTTCAGTGGCTTCTCCCACTACTGATTATTCAAGCAGCCATTTCACACATTCATTTCTTTGCACAACTTTCCTATCTTACAATTTTTTTATTTTTTTATTTTTTATTTTTATTTTTTTGACAGGCAGAGTGGACAGTGAGAGAGAGAGAGAGAAAGGTCTCCCTTTACCATTGGTTCACCCTCCAGTGGCCGCGCTGATCCGATGGCAGGAGCCAGGTACTTATCCTGGTCTCCCGTAGGGTGTCCTAACACTCTGTAGTCAATTGTTTATTGAGTGTCCACTATGTGCCAAGAACTATGTTATGTTCTTATTGATAACCCTACAAAATTTCAGGTGGAGATCCACTGAGAGTAAGTTATTAAATTTAGGTCACATAGCTTCTAAGTGCTTGAGATAAATTCAAACATTTTTCAATACTGTTTTACCTATAAACTGTGACTGATTTTAAACTATAGTCTTTTGTAGGTCTTCAGTTTGGTCTAGGAGTTCCTTTTCTGGGCATTAATAATGCCCTCTGAATATTTCTATCTAAGTATCACATTTTATTGATTTATTTATATATTTTTAAAGATTTATTTATTTATTTATTTATTTTAAAGAGTTACACAGAGAGAAAAGAGGCAGAGAGAGAGAGGGGCCTTTCATCCTAGGGTTCACTCACTCCCCAGTTGGCCGCAATGGCCAGAGCTGCACCAATCCAAAGCCAGGAGCCAAAGAGCTTCTCTGGGGTCTGCTATGCGGGTGCAGGGGCCCAAGGACTTTGGCCATCTTGTACTGCTTTCCCAGGCCAAAGCAGAGAGCTGGATTGGAAGTGGAGCAGCCAGGTCTCAAACCAGCGCCCATATGGGATGCCGGCACTGCAGGCCAGGGCGTTAACTCACGTTGCCACAGCACCGGCCCCCACCTATTGCATTTTAAACTTAAGTTGTATATACAGACATAGTCTTTAGTATTCTGATTCTAGATTCAGAATTTATATACTGGGTTCATGTATCAGTTTTTGTTAAGTACTAGAAGTCTAACATTAGGCAACTTGTTTAACTTCTCTGTCCCTCAATTTCTTCATCTGTAAAGTAGGGATTATAGTAATATTTATCCCCTATATTTGTTATAAGCAATAAGAATTAGACTTTTACTTATAAGCAGTGTCAGGATCATGTAAGAACTTGGAAATAGAACTACAGAAATCAGAACTTCACGGGTTAGGCTCAGCAATGGGCCTAATGTTTGGAACCATTAACCTCAGGTTATGGAAATGAAAAAACCTGAGTCAAGGACTCACAGTTTGAACTTGTTTTCCCTGGGCAAATTACCTGTTCTCTCAGTAGGAGTACTACATGTGTAATATCAGGCAGCTTGAGATATTATAGATAAATTGAGGGAATTATCAATTATTTTAATCATTAAATTTGAAAAAGGACAGGATTTAGACTGATTTTACATTGTTCAAATCTTGCCTTGGAACAATTGCATTTGTAGAAAGTGCAAGGTAAGGCAGTATTGGGGCAGGCACTCTGGTGCAGCAGGTTAGAGCCCTGGACTGCAGCACCAGCGTTCCATACGGCCACCCGTTCTAGTCCCAGCAGTTCCACTTCCAATCCAGCTCCATGTTAATGCGCCTGGGAAAGCAGCAGAGGATGGCTAAGTCCTTAGGCTGCTGCACCCATGTGGGGGACCAGGAAGAAGCTCCTGGCTCAGCTCCAGCCAGTGCAGCCATTTGGGGAGTGAACCAGCAGATGGAAGACCTCTCTCTATCTCTACCTCTCTCTACCTCTGTCTTTCAAAAAAATAAAATAAAATAAAAATCTTTGAAAAAAAAGACAGTATACATATTTTGCATTACCCAGTATGAGTTCAGGTTACATAGCCTTGGCAAAATAACTATTCAATGAAATTAAAATATATTCTGCATTTATAGTTTTGTATTAATTGGAAGTAAAGAAACTGAGCAAGGAGAGTTAAATTATTTCATAATGATCTTCCTCAAGGCTTCAAAATAACTTCCTCTCATTGAGGGGTTTTAATAAAACATATAGGTGACCTAAATGTATAATTAAGCACTGAAGATCCTTGACTTTGACTCCTAGAATAGCTAAAATCATCAAAAGATAAATTGAAAACTTCTGTCTCCACATTAGTAAACACTTCACAATGACTAAGGTCTCATGAAATTTTGGTGCTAAAGAGTTTGTCAAAAGGCTGTCAGTTTTTCTTCTTACTTTTCTTACTCCTTTTTTCTTCATTCCATTCCTTTTTCTATAAGGTAAGACGGTATATACCGAGTGTTACTCTCTTTCTTTTTATGCCCAGTGAAATTCTAGTCACCCTCCCCACTGCTAAATCCACACTAACCTTTTCACCTTTCTGATGTACTGTTTTTGTTTCCTTTTCCCTCTCTCCTTCCTCCCTCCACCTTTTGCATCATTTTTCTTCTCTGTCCAAAATGCACTTCAGAATATAGGGCTTCAGGATAAGAATTAAGGAATATTATCTCATTAAATCATTCTGCTTGCCTTTTAAAACTCCAATATTAAGTGCCATTGATTGGTTCTTGTTCTGTTTGTCTTGTCTTGTTTATAGAAAGATGTGACTAGGGACACTTGGTTAGCATTGGAATTGGAAGAATTACTATTTTTTAAGATTTATTTATTTATTTGAAAGGTGGAGTTACGGAGTGGGGGGCAGAGAGAGAGAGAGAGAGAGAGACAGACTTTCATCTGCTGGTTCACGCCCCAAATGGCCGCAAAGGCCAGGGCTGGGTCAAGAGCCAGGAGCTTCTTCTGGGCCTCCCGCATGGTTGCAGGAGCCTAAGCACTTGGGCCATCGTCTACTGCTTTCCCAGGTGTATTAGCAGGGAGCTTGATCAGAAGTAGAGCAGCTGGGACTCGAACCAGCACCCATATAGGATGCCAGCACTGCAGGCAGTTGCTTTACCCACTATGCCACAGCTCCAGCCCCAGAATTACTATCATTTTAAACACAAAAAGTCTATTAATACTACCACAATTCCAGTTAACAGTAATTCAAGGCAACTAAAACTGCATTGTGATTCACGTTTTTAAGTTCCTTTAATTTTGAATATATACATGCAGTTAACTTTAATACAACATATATACTAGAAGTTATTTCAGTTTTTGCTAGAGCCTTCCCACAATTTCTATTTTAAGCAACACAGGAAATACCAAATACATGTATGCAGACAATTGCACATATGTAGTCATGCCTTAGGAAATGAAATCTTCAGATATTTTTCCACCTTAGCTTTTGCATTTTTATAAATGTATACAAGTTTTGCACAGTGAGTGACTCCCTTATGTCTGTAAGCAATGTATTACTCATAAGCAATTATTTAAAAGGTAAAGATAGGCACTAACATGCTAACACTATCTTATTTTAAAATATTCTGACTTGCTGTCAGAACATGTGTACTTGTGTTTTTGTTTGAGAAGTGTGTTCAGCATATGTATTTTGGGCCAAATTCTTCCCCCATGTGCAGAGGGAGCAAGTAGGCAAATATAGAGACTGGCATGTTGCCCATAACAACACTAGAACTGGATCCATTCCAATTTTCACTATTTCTAGGGGAGAAAGTGTCAGTCAGGTGTACCACTTACTGTGTACAGAACTTACTGTTCTGCAGCTCTGCTTATCTAACATGGCTCCGCAAAGGGTTTTTCAATCTCCATGGTTGTACTCTCCTTTTTATGCTGAGAATTCTATTATCTTGCTGGAATTTTTATTTTTTTGCTTAGAGGTTTGTTCTTATGTAAAGATTCAAATGCCTTTCAAGCCTCATCACTGCTACATATATTCTTATATAGACTGAATATGTTACTCAGTCTTCCAGGTTTTTATTTTGATAAAGGGTATGAAGAACTTGAACTAGAATCAGCACTGAAAAGGAGCAATACAAGAAGTAGAAAAGATAGAAATATATAGAAAAAACTATCATTATTATTTGTTTACCCAGGTAGCATTTATTGCCAAGCATGAAGGACTTCTACATCTAGCCACAAATGGACTGGTGCAAATGCATAGCACTAATCAATTTTGCTTATTCTATTGTTTTATCATTTAGATGTTCATTTTAAATAGATCCAGGGAAATTAGTTTAGTCAAACTAGCCAAAAATCCTATTTTAGTTACAAATATTTGATTGCAAATTGAATCAGTGGTATTATGACATATCAAAATTAATATAAAATTAATAGAACACTAGTATTTATATATGACCAAGGAAGACATTTCCTAAGTTTGTCTGTCTTTTCATTCTTGCAGCAAGCAGGACATTGAATCTACAGATGAGGTATGTGCGAAAATAGTCGAAAATCAAATATATAGATGACAAAGTAGATTCTGATATTTGCACTAATAATATTATTTTAGTTGGTGCTTTATTACTAGAAACACAGTTTAGAGAAAGAAATAATGATCAATTTACTTTTAAAATTATATATCACTTACATCTTTGAAATGGCTATAAAAGTGGCAAAAATTCACAAAACAGTTTTATCAGCTGTTATTCTATGATTTAATTTTTCTTTGTTTTCTGGAACATTTAAAATTTGACTAACCAGAGTCCACATTATAGAAAAATGGAAATCTACATAATTAAGTAAATATGATTCAAATCATTTATGTGTTGTGCCAGTCAGCAACTTGAAATAAAAATTTTCAAGTATTTCAAATATAAATTCTAGTACATATGCACATTTTGTTAATAATTGTTTTAATGGAACATGTAATCAAATAGAGAAAGAACGTATTTCAATGCAGTAAAAAGCACAATTACATCTTTGGTGCTAATTTTTATCTTTATTTCCAGTGTATTGGTATACTGTATTAATTATAGTTCAGTAAGTCCTAAATTGCCTTTTAAGAAGCACTTCAATTCAGCTTCTCACTTAAAATTAGTCCAAGCTTCTCAGTGTTGCTGTGGCAACATTATAATCTGTCAAAAGTCACCAAAGCTCTGTGTAAATCTTCAATAAGCCATGTAACTTCTTTATTTCCCAACATTTTCATTATTTAAAAAGCAGCCTCTAAGATGTATCTATCACCCAACAAAATTCCTATTGTCAAAAGATATACTGAATAAAATATTTAAAAGAATTTAATAAACCATCTTGTTTTGAAATGATTGAAAAATAAAAATAGAACATTTAATGGTTACCCAAAACTTTTCACTGAAATACTTGGAATTCAGGGTTCTTTCCATGATGTATATAATATAATTGTTATTTAAAAATTAAAAAACTAAAAAATGTAGACCTGGTGTTCATAGAAACTATTCTACATGAAGTGAATTAATCTTTTAAAATTCCTAAAAATATCTTGTTACACAAAAGTGTGTGGACTGCTGATCCTAAGACTAAAATATCAGCATGTTCAATTAATAAGCCTCTCTTTTCTTACAGTCAGAAGATATTGAGTCGTTGATTCCTAAAGGATTGTCAGAATTTACAAAACAACAAATTCGCTATATTCTTCAGGTAAGATGGCGTCAGGAATGGGTTGTGAGATAAACATTAACAACTGCTCCCTAGTATGACTCCTTTAATTAAGAACAAACCTCCCCCACCAAAAAAAGCATCCTGTTTCATTAGAATTGATGAAATCTTTACTTAATATATACTAAATCGATCTTCTGTATGTAAAGATAATTGAAAATTAATCTCGATGTGAATGGAATGGGAGAGGGAGCAGGAGATGGGAGGGGTGCTGGTGGGAGAGAAGTTATGAGGGGGGAAGCCATTGTAATCCATAAACTGTACTTTGGAAATTTTTATTTACTAAATAAAAGTTTAAAAAAAAGAATTGATTATACTTTGTTAGACAAGGAGTCATTAGAGTTTAGTCAGACCATAGAAGACTCCTGTTGAATGACTAACATTCAAGATAGCATTCTAGAACGATTAACCTCCACTGTGGAACGTCCTGATTCACTCCTCAATGGTTTAGTACAATCTGACTAACTCATAGTCATTGCACGCCCTCTTCTCCATCTATTCTCCACTCCATGCCACCACTAGATTGAGAGGGAAAAGAGAGTGCCTTTTCTCCAGTAGAAGCTGGAGATCACCAGGGCAGTAAATTCCTCTATGATGAGGTGAGATAATGGAGCAAGACAGATGCTAAAGATGAAAACTATTACAGGTATTGGGGCTGGTGTACAGCAGGTTAAGCCAGTCCTGCAATGCCGGCATCCCATATCAAAGCACCAGTTGGAGTCAGTCCCAGCTTTTTTGCTTCCAATCCAGCTCCTTGCTAGTGTGACTAGGAAGGCAGCCAAAAATGACCCAAGTACTTGGGCCCCTGCCACCCACATGGGACACCCAGATGGAGTTCCAGGCTCCTGGCTTCTGGTGGGGTTGCAGTCATTTAGAAAGTAAAGCAGCAGATGGAAGATTTGCAAGAAAGTATTCTAAAGACAATCTAGTTTTGTGTGCTGAGGTCAATTTCTAAGTGTGATATTTGGTTTGATCATATTGATTGTGGTGTCATATTTGTAAAACTTAAATGGAATATTATTTTTAGAGGTACAGAGTCTGTATTATAAAGAGGTGATGGTGTGCTGGAACACATGTGCTCTTTAGAACCTGAATCTGGGATACATCTTTAATATTATTCCTGGTGGTGATATACATGCAAAGTGCATTTTAGGCTTATTTTTTTTTTGGAAAACTCTAAGAATTTTGGCATCTAAGTTCATGAGAGATGTTGATGTATTGTTTTCTTTTTTAATTCTCTTTGGTATTTATAACAGGATAACTCTACCCTCATAAAATGCTTTGGGGAGTGTTTATTCCTTTTCTGTTTTCTGGAAGAGACTATAGATTTGACATTAATTCTTCTTTAGATATTTGATAGAATTCCCCAGTGAAAATATGAGCCTGTAGATTTGTTTTATTTGAATTTTCAAAAATTCTAAATTCAACTCTTCAATAGTTAAAGAATCATTCAAATTGTTTTTTGTTTTGGGTGATTTGTGATAACTTATTTTTTGTTTGTTTTTACTTAAAAGCAAGATTTATTAGAGTCAGAGACCTCCAGCCAGAGTGGCAAGGAGGGGGGCTTCCAAGAGAGGAAAAAACCCTGAAGGGGTCCATGGTACTGGGGTTTTTAAGCACAGTTTCGGGGAAGAAAAAACTTATCAGCTTGGCATTCAGTTACAAGGTAGGGAAAAACCCATCAAAAGATATGATTTGCAATCCTTTTTCCTGTCTGGCTTGCTCATCATAGAACAAAGAGCCATCAGAAGGGTAGGGTACCTAATTTACTTTACGATAAACTGGGAGCTCAGAAGGAATCACCACTCCCTTGCTATTCTCATAAGATTGGAAGCTTTCAAGGAGTAGGCAGGCAGTTTTAATCTTGCTGAAGAAAGTCCTTGGGGGAAAGCAAGCACTCTGCACTGTAAATTTCCACTGGGACCACCCTGACTGCCTGTTAACCCATCTGACACCTCACATCCCCCCCCACCCCCGCCACCGCATAAGAATGGACCCTAACTTCTGTTAGGGGAACTGGGCGATGACTGCTCTGGCTGCTTCATGCTAAAAGGGGTGTTGTTGGAAACAGCAGTCAAGACAGGGTTCCAGCAGGAGGTGGCTTCTCAGCAGGAGGTGGCTTCGTGAGGGGGACACAGTGCCAGTTTGCAGAAACTGCTTCCATCCGAGGTTTCATGTGCATGGCCACCTAGAATTTCACTGTTTCAAGTCGGAAGAAAATGAATATTAATAACCAGTTTAAACTCCCAGGTTCTAAAACAAAGGACAGAATCATTATTAGACGACCTAAGAAAGGAGCTATCTAAACTATGAGCAGGTTTTCCCATTGAGAGGCAAATAGAAACCGACAGAAGGGGTCTGATAATAATCAGGTGGGTTTTAAGGCCTGGCCAGGTATGAGGCCCAGACCTATCTATCTCTTCACATGAGGTACTGGAAGAGACATCATAAAAAAAAAAAAGTGTGAACCTCCTTAGGGAAGGGTGCACCCTGTTGATTTCCATTACCTAGCTGGTCTGGGAGGAAAGCTGGCCTGAATAGAAGTTTACAGTTCTGCCTGCAATGTTGCTGACCTTGTTTGGCCATCCCCTCAACAGCGGTGGTTACTTTGAAAGCTAGACTGAGTGAAGGGCTTTTTCAGTGTAGAGTCAACAGGGGGTCTGTGGCTCTGACAGAGGAGTCGCTCAGCCCCTAGGGCAGTTCTTCTTCCAGTGACCCAGCTCTTGGCCAGCAGAGCTGCCAGGGCTCTTCAAAAGCTGACTTCCATGTCCATCTGAAGCCCTGGCTTTCCACATTGAAACCCAATGCCATTTGCAGTGGACTGGCCTGATGTGTCTCCTTAATGGCAGATCACTGTGTAAGGCATCCATTAATTGCCCTGCCAACTATCTTTACATTGTGACTGCTGCCTAGCTTGCTCCTCTTCCTCCTGGTTTCTGTTAAAGCAGACCAGAGGAAACCTTTCAGAGGATGCAAGAGGGTGCTCAGTCCCATCTCTAATCTTTGGTGGCCTAAACTAGAAATCTATAGTTGTAGCCATGTTCTGATAGTGGTTTTTCTGTGAGGGAGACAGTGCCCATGAGGAAAGCTGTGTCCTCGCTTTAACATCAAACATGCAGACAACCTTATGCAACCTGTCTATAAATTTTGAAGTTATTAGTAAAACTTTCTCTTCCTTCATTTGGATTAAAAGGGAAGGGTTTGCCTGTTTACTGTGCCTAAGGCAAAGTAAATCTAGCTGTGAAGTCACAATTTAAGTTCTCATTTGGGCTATGTTATTATTACAGAAAAATGTTAGCCATTCCTTTTATAAGGTCTAAAGTTCAAATTGTACATCCTGGAGAGGCCTTCAGAACAATATCAGTTTGCCATCTTGAATAGAGAAATGAAGGAACAAGTCATTTTTCCCAGATCGCTTACTGTCAATAACTTAATATCAATGAAAACTTAGCAAACAATTTTAACTGTTAAATAACAACTATGAAAACATTTGCCAAAAGGTCCAATGTCTTCCATTAATTTCAAGACAAGAGTACATGTATTTGGAAACATTGCTTAAATATCTAACACAAGTGTGACTGGTTTGACCAGCAAACCTAAGTACAGACATATAAATGACTTAAACATTTTTAGTTTCTTTCCACCAACAAATTTAAAACATCTGGTACAGAAATTTAGGTCACATGAACAAAAAACATATCTTCGATTAATTTAGCAGTTTAAATTTATGAGCAATCTTTTATCTATAATCCAGTTAAAACAGAGCTTTTAATAAATACATGTAACATGACATCCTAGTTAGAATAAAGCCGTTTCAGTAATAGCTTCTTAATATCATTAGCTGTTTTTTTTAAATTATCATCAATCAATTAGAATTATTTCCTGCTTTTAGTAACCTGAATTAACCATACTCTTTCTCAGTTGGAACCTGTAGTCCATTATTGACTTTATTTGCTTACATAACTGCCCCAAATTATTGGATACAATAGAAGTCAGGGAAAAGGAGTCCTTTGAAACCTAAAAGAGGAAACATTTAAACACAAAAACAACAATGTTTTTACTTCCATGAACAATAAATCTAATTGTTAGTGTTTGGTGGATACAAAACTGTGGATGACAAAAATTCAAATAGCCATGTTTAAAATTATAAACTCATTAACCAACAAGAAAAGGGACTTGCTTATTCCACACATTATTTCTTGAAAGCACCTGTAGGATTTTGTAAAACATTTATCCTTTTTAGGCTTTTGGGCCTTTCTCATTAATAATCATGCCTGATGACACAATGAGATCATTAGACTTTTGTAACTTTTGGATATTTGTATCAGTAGAATTTTATGTTATCATAATTTAAATTTAGCACCACTTCACATCTTGACGGTACCTCTAATATAATCCAAATAGCCTGATTAGTTGGTGTCTCTACAAGATGAGAGATATATCCTTTGACATTTCCAAGGGCCCAACTGGAAATATCAAAGTCCAAAGAATTTGGAATATCTCGTTGAAATAGGATCCCTTAGCATCATGACATAATATAGACCCAATTTGATCATTGTTACACAAAGTGATTACTCAAATAATTTAGAATCAGCATACACTTAAACAAGCCAGAACTCTTAAAACTCATCTGTTTTTAAACAATCAGAACTTAACAGAGACATTAAGAGAACACAGGGGCTGGCGCTGTGGCACAGCGGGTTAATGCCCTGGCCTGAAGCGCTGGCATCCCATATGGGTGCCAGTTTTAGTCCCGGCTGCTTCTCTTCCCATCCAACTCTCTGCTATTGCCTGGGATAGCAGTAGAAGATGGCCTAAGTCCTTGGGCCCCTGCACCCACGTGGGAGACCCAAAAGAGACTCCTGGCTCCTGGCTTCCGATCTGTGCAGCTCCAGCCGTTGCAGTCATCTGGGAAGTGAACCAGTGGATGCAAGACCTCTCTCTGTCTCTGCCTCTCTCTGTAACTCTGTCTTTAAAAAATA